ACTGAGAAATGATGGTTTGTCTCAATGCATGACTGCTCCTCCTTTATTATCACTGTCTTTTCTGTTAAGGCAGTAATGCAAACAGTGCCACAATGCTGGGGCTCAAACTGAATCTTTCATCAAAAGGAAAGCAGAAGTGAGGAACATAAGAATTACAAGCAGAAGGTGACCTCTGGATTCCCTGTAAAATTCTATGAAAAAGGCAGGAGGATGTTCAGTAAGTCTAGACAGGAAGCCTTTTTATGCATCCCTAGGTTTTAAATGGAGCAAAAATGTGTAACGGTTGTAAAAACGAACAGCTATCAGGTAAGCCGTAAGCAAGGAAGCTACCCTGCCTCCAAACAGGAGCATCCGCAGTGTGGGGGTGTCAACAAAGTCAAGATGGCGGCTGTGCAAAAGGTGGGAATCCATTGCATTGTTGCAGTTACCATCTTTGAGTTTTTGATCCACCTGCCTCCCCCCGCCCCACAGATGCCCTTTCCTGCGAACCCTTTTCATGCAATAGAAAGTGATTCCATCTGAGTATATCCTTCGCTAGCCTCATTTCAGCAAATCAGCCTCTGCTTTCTGAACCAGATGTTACAACCCTCCTGTGGTCATGGGTTTCTTTCCCAGTGTATCAGCCCAAACTTGACTTTGCATGCATCTCTGCTGTCTGATCAGATGTAGCCTTAGCTGATAGCTGACTAGCTCCATAATAGAAAACAGACAGCATTTTCAAGCACACACCCAATTCTCTGGTTGCATCTTCTCTTCAGCTGAATAGCAGGAATAGTACCAAACAGACACACTGGGAACGCCAACTGATCCTCATTTGACTGACTCATGGCTGTCAGGAACATGTAAACAGGAGCTAGACTTTTAATCAGCTGCAAGAAACAGGGAAGCCAGAGGCTGCAACTATTGTTTCTATGGGAATTAGGCAAATAAGAGCCATTTCAAACAAATGTTTTGTTTGCACAGGGACGTTTACATCTCCTAATGCAAAGAGGGACAATTGCTGTTTTACTATAGAAGAACTATTTTGCCAGGATGTAGCAGAATTTGTTTTCATATTCCCCTCTCATATCAGATGGTTTTGTCCAGGATGCCCCCTGACTTTTTCCCCCAAGGGACAAAGATCTCAGGTCTACTTCATTAGCTTTTAGAAGCCTGAATTTTTAGAAGCCTGACATTAAATTATTTGAATGTCATTTATCTTGTCTTGATGGTTTTACATTAGGCATCTCTTCCTGCTGTTGCGATGACTGCCGACACATTGACTTATAGTTGTGAACTGTTTGAAGAATCATTAAAAAGCTGAGCAGGTTGACTCTCAGATTGTTCCATGGGAATCTTTTCTGCTCCTGTGGTCCCTGAATTCCCAGGTGGGCATCGCAAAAATGACATTGGTGCAGTATTTAGGGTATTGCAATATGTGAATGATCGGGCTACCCCTGGAGAACACTGGGAAGCTTGAGTGGTGTAACAATGCAGCAGTGAGGCTCTTACCGGCTGGAAGATCCATTTTGGCTGTTGTTGATTTGCTGGTCTCAATTCAAGGTGCTGGTTTTAATTGTTAAAAACCAGAAGAGCCTCCCTGCTTCAGTATGCACTTACCAGATTTTGCCAAGATAACAGCAGTGAAGAAAAATCCTCTTATTTTTAGCATGAAACACTTTAAAAATAATTCTGATAATGGAAATTTGAAAGCAAATAATGGGCTGGAAAGCTTGGGAATACACTGAATACAACAGTCAAGCTTTGAATGGTTGTAACATCTGCAGATGTGTCTAGAGGAATTAAGACTTCCCCTCCTCCACTGCAGATTGTGGGCTGAGACTGAAATGGCAGGAATAAAACTATCTTGCAATGCTAATGATTGCTTTCATTGCAACAGCGTAAGATAGGTGGAAAGAACAGAATGCAGGGTAGTTGAGTATTATATTCAGTGGCAAATTGGATGATATGCTACAAACAAGAGTTGATTACCGAGCCTCGCAATATAATCCGTTGTTAATCTTATTGGGCAGCAGCAATGCTGAGATCACTTTTAATTCCCAATAAAAGTCACTCGTCCCTCCCTCCCCCACTGCAGCAAAGCAAATGCTCCCTAGATGTACTCCTAGGCCAAAGTGAGCACTCAGTGTAGCCAGAAGCCTTGCGCTGTAATTACTTGCAGGCAGATTGGTTGCATTTATAAATACCCAATCTCTCTCTCTCATATCTGTCTGTCTATCTTCATCTCACAATCAGAGCAAAAAAGTTGAAGCTGCTTTTTTTCTCTTGTTGCACTCTTTCCTCAGACACACCCTCACATAAATACATAGCTGTCAAGGAGATGCACTGCAACATTTTGTTTGTGAGGCTCCACTTCCTGCATTCCATTTTAAGAAAGCGACTAAAGGCAGACGTTGTGGTTTTTAGTATCAAGCCAGTCTTTCCTCTAACCCTCACTTGACATTTTGTGTGTCTATGTGTAGTTATCTTGACTTCCTGTGCAATTACACTTCCTAAGTCCTAATAGTACAGACTTTTGCAAAGGCTAACACCAGACTGAAACTTGAAGGATGCCTTGCCGAGGCTGAGCATATTTGCTTTTGTTGAGTTCTTGAAACACTATGGAAACGGCTTTCCACAGCCTGACGCCTTCCAGATATGCTGGACTAGAGTTCCCATAAATGCAACTGCGTAACACCAATCCTAAAAATTGCTCCATGAGATTCTACTGAGCTACTGGGCTCATTCAAGATGATTTAAGTTTTTAAAGCCCTCAGTGTTTTAGCCTCCAAGTATTTAAAAGGGGACTGATCTTACTATTAGCCAACATGTGCACTGACATCTGTTAGGAAGGTCCTGCTGCTTGTAGAAAAGACACTCAGGTTTTCTTGGTAGTGGCACCTCTTCTAACTCAGTTGTATTGTAACACAGCCAGACCACTTTTTGATATTTGAGGATTTTACATTGAATTTTAAACATAAATTTAGGGGTTTTAAAATTGAGAGTTTTTTCTCATTACTTTATTTGCATGCTGCCTTGGAGCTCTGCTAAAAAAAAAGCCTTAAAAATAAACCAACAGGTCTGCCAACAAGCCAAACCAAATATCCATCTCCTGTTATTTATTATAATTTCATCACTCATCTTTCAGCAGATCTCTCTAGGGATGATAGCATCAAAAAGTACATTTCTGCACCTGAGAGACATCATGTGGCCACAAAGGTCATTACAATTTCCTGGGCTTAGCTTTGCTGTACAGTTAGCTATGAATTCCAGAGGTACTATGTTTATCCCTATTACAAGAACTCTTAAATGATCGCTCTGTCATCTCTCCAAGCGCATAGCCTTCTTGCAAAGCTCAGATGAACAGATTGGTTATACCATTCATTTCCAAAAACCCTTCAATAGTCCTTTCCCCATTGGTTGATTTGTATATATATTTTGGGCACATCCTCTCTGTGCCTCCAGGTCCACTGCTGGGATTGCAAGGACTTGTTCTTGTCCCTTCAGTGAAAGGGCATCCTATTTACTATTTATCCTGAATTCAATAACATTTATTTCTGAATCAAGGTGCATAGGGTTGTACTGTTATCCACAGGCACAGGAGATCTGTGTACATTAATAAAAGACAAATCTTTAAAAAAAAAAATCCTGTCCTCAATATACTCCAGCCTGTTCTACATAAGCTGGTGGAAAAACACAATACACAAGACCTGCTGAAAAGGAATTGGAGTGGCTTCTACAAAGAAAGCCATGTCTAATGAACATGTAGACTGAATAATTAAGTAGATGCTATTACATAAATGTAAAATTTCCTAATTTATGTGTTCAGTGAGACCTGGACCACTAATTGCAAGTGTGCTAGTTCTGCATGCCAGCCAGCGAGATACCATATGCACCTGGAAATGAATAGTGAGGTAATCAAATAATTGAAGGACACCTACTGAGGAAGGTAAAATCCAAAACTGACTATGAAGAAGAAACCTAGAACTGCAAGATAGAAGTTCAGAAGGAAAGTCCCATTTTCACTTAGACATTATGATATCTACGGACAACCTGGAACTCTTCAGGTGTTTTGGACCGTTTGCATAAGCTTTCATTAGCATTAATACTGGGGGATGGGCATTTTAATTCTAAACATCTGGAAGATATTGGGTTGCTCATTTCTATATTCTAGTAGCTGTGACTGCATCAGAAATAAGTACATGTTCAATATACTGTTCAGAATATTCTAACAGCCACAGAATCTAATGGAACTGAAACTGTCAGAGGCAGCACCTAAGAATGCCAACACTTAACAGATGGTGATCAATGTTTGTTGTTTTTATTCCTGCCACTGGGTTTTATACAACTGATTGACCACTGTGGGAAATAGGATACTAGACTAAATAAGTTTCTGGATTGAATGGAGCTTTTCATACTTTTACTGTATAGGAAACAATACTTACAAAGTTACAGTATAAAATTAAAGCAGAAACAGTGTAAGAAATGATTGGGTTAGTATAATATTTGTTTCAAGCAATATTATCTCATTCTTCACCAAAATAATATATCCCGAGCAATATCAGGTACTGTATCAACTAAAGATGGGCACTGACAACATACTCAAAAAGCACACTGGAAATGACATTATTCAAATTTGCACTACACTTTAGGATTCAATTGGAAGCAGGTTGCCTAAAAAAGAAACTATAACAGTGGTATAAGCAAGAATTTGAGTTTCTCTGGCAATAACAGCACTTGCAAAAAGTTGCCTCTAAGAAAGGGTAGCAAGACAGCCCTTACAACAGGCAGGAGATATTTTCCTTTCCAATGTGTATGTATACAAGCTGGCTGCACGCATTCTGCTAAGATAAGTATGCCAGTGTGTCCACTGGTAGAATAAACAGTAGCTCCTGAATTGGATGAATTATGAAGCAAACAATGGAACCTTTAGTTAATTAGCTGCTTTGAAATCCTAAATCTTTGTAATGAATTCAAAATTAAGATAAGTGCAATATATGTCATTGACAAATAGAAGCAAGTTATGGCAGGTGACAAATTTATTAGAAAACCTATAGCATCACTGGAAAGTTTGTATTGCAGAATATCTTCAGCACAGAAATTATGAACATGGTAAAATCTCATTCAGCAAGCCTGCAGATTCTAAAGAATATATTTTATTATCATCTTGAAACATCCTTTTTATTCTTCACTTTTGGCCTGGCTCTCTTCAGAATATAAAAATGGGCAATTTTTATGCATTAAAAAGTTCAATTAGCTTAAAAAGATTTAAACAGGAAAGATAACAGGACAGATGGATACTCACCTGAAGTTTTAAATAATTGCCCTGAAATGCTGTTTATTGCTTTGACAAAATGGAGGATCAGTACTTGTTACAGCCACTGTTGAACAATTGTTATAATTATATCTCTATACAGAATACTGTTCTTTTCTTTTTTAAAATAGAAGTCAGTCATTTTATGCTATACTACAGCAATGCAGGATTAATATAACATCTTTACAAGGTTTCAAGGAAGAATTACACATAAATGAAAAATGTCTGAAACATTCAGTATTCTGTATTACCATTCTGGATTGGACTTTAGTTGGGTGCATCCAAATGAAATGAAATATTATAATTCAACTCACTGCACTTTAAATGAAGCTTTTTGCCAGACCATATATCTAATACATGATAATTAAGCTCCTGTTGAATTTGAATCAGAAGACATTGATACAGTCAGCAGAAAATATTATATCACCCTATGATTTGATTTAGACAAACTACATCCAGTTTAGTAGGGACCAGTAAAGGAGATAGCAGTTTGAAAAAAGGCAGATAGTTACAGCCAATTCATGTAGTTGTGTACACCCTAAAAATTCCTTAGTATCACCTGCAATGCAGGATCAGCAAACCTTCTTAAAAAGAGTTTTAGTCATCACAACTACACTGAACATCTGAAGCTTTGTCAAAAGCTTAGAAAATAGAAGTTTAGATAAAAGTCCAGGGATTGGATTTATGCACCCAGCATAACAGCCAAAATTTAAGCCTTTTACAATCCCTGTCTAAACTCCAAGGCAATGTGACTAAAATATTTTTAGATATGAAGCTGTGCAAGAAAGCATATAAACCTGTACAGATTTAGAGAAGTATTTCCAAATGGAAATTGTGAGCTATCTTGTCACTGGCAGGCAACCTTCCCTCCTCCCCTTTTCAACAGCTTTTTGTCTCTAAGTGCAGAATTTTCTGTATAAGATGCAATTGATGACAAAGGAAGACTGGACCAGCAACAAGGCTTTAAGGAAGTTTAGGCCACTGAATGTGCCTGACAAAACTGAGACACCATTAGGTAGATTTAGAATAGCTTTCCTCAATCCTTTAATCTCCCTGATATTCTTTACAATTTCTAACTGCATAACCAATGCTGAAATCTCGACAGAATCCAGTTGGGGAAGACTAATCTAAAACATAAATCCTGACCGGGCAGGTTGTACTTTCTTACTTTTACACTTTTGAAAACGATGCTGATGGTGTTTTGTTTATGATCAATATTATCAGTCATTGGATAATAACTACAAGAAAGTAAAATTATTGGAATTCAAGAATTTTCTTGATCTTGATAATTTTTTGCTGATCTGACCTAGTTATTTTGCCACAGGAATTTCTGTCACACTAGAAATGTCTGAATACATGTTTTTGCTTCAGTATAAATTATTATAAATGCAAAATTTCTATCGATTGTTCAGGCTGTTTCTACAGGATTTCATCAACAAGAGGTTTTCCCTGTACCAGCTTCACTGAAATGAATGGGAATTGAGAGCAAACTTTTCAAGTAAATTTTAAAAAATAATCTGTACTAGAAAAAAACAAGATGAGGATAAAATGCTCAACCTGCTCAGCAAAGAAAAAAAGGAAAACTTGAAGCATTTCCCCACAATTTTAATTATCACAATTAAGTAATTTAAACTGATTTCAGGCTTAAATAATAATAAATAGGTGGAAGAATGAATGATTTGGGGAAAAAATTAAATTACGTCATGAAAATTAATTAAAAAAAAACACAGGAATAACGTTCACACCCATAAACCCAAACCTTCATAATTTTAAACACAACAGTGAACTTTGAAACTTGCGTTTACTGATTATTTAGTATTCTTAAGGGCTTTCACCTTGGCCATTTCAATTTTAGCACCAAAATTAACCCCAGAGAGGTACTGGTACAGCTCTGATGCTATTAATGAATTGTTTACACATAATACTTTTATATTATAATTATACACACATACTGTACATCCACACATCCACACAACAAGAGGAATATCCAAATGTATACATGGTGTGTTTCAGATTGTTCGCCAAGACTCAGAGCAATGGAAATAAAGCAGAAGGGAATATTTTACATAGGCAACTTTAATGCTGTAGTGCACTTATAAAAAAAGTCCAACTTCCCTCCCAGCTCAGCAGCTTGTCTGAACTGTTTGAATATCATGATCCAGAAGATGCAGAAGTTATTGCCCTAAGTATTCTATACATTACATTGGTGTTCTCAAAAACAAAACAAAACCACTTGAAATTGCTACTTAATTTACAAACTTGATTGCTTTTCTCATTACAGCTTTAATTCATTGGCAATTTTGGAAGCAATGTTTTTAAAAGCTATGGATGTTCCCGATATCCGTTTAAAGCGAACTCCATTCAGGGACAGTCTGGGTAGCTTACACACCTCCATCTCCCATTGCACGAGGTTTTCTGCATGGCCATCCCCATGGACACAGAAAAGCAAGAAACGTTCCCTCTGTTCATAGTCACAATTATTGGCATCCAGGACCTTGCGAATTTCCCTCATCATATCATTAGGATCCATTGAACTGGTAGTTTTCATGCTCCAAGTAAATCGTAGTGAACGGGGTTTGGCTTCTTTGTTGTCATCCTTCTGATCAACAGCCACGTTACGACTGAAATGAAATCAAGGTTCAGTATTCACGGATGAACCAATTTCCTTGGAAATTGCTTTGTTAGTAAAAGCCATTGTCTTTTGAGGCATGCATTATTTAAAATGTTCTTCTATCAGTTGCTACCAATCCCAGTATGATTAAAAGCTTAGGTTAGTGTTTAGCAACACATGAATTAGACACAGTTCTATAATGCTAAAGCTAAAGAGGGCCACAGTTACCCCCTCCAGAAAGCAGATGTCCGGGGGGGGGGGAGCTGCAAATGGGAGAGTGGCTAGGGTGTTGTATATTACTACTTTGCTGCAACTTCTGCTCCAAACCTTTCTCCATTATTCCTCACAGGATACCAAACACACAGGCTTGCCTGTGCCAAATTTTATATTGAAGCAAATTGGGAATTGGAATTTTTAAGGTACAATTTAGATGTCCCCCACTACTGAGACTTTTCAGGGAGAGCACAATAAATTGGTGCTGCACTTAGAGCATGTGCAAAAGTCCTATTAGAAAGGACTCCTTGAATCTTTCTAATTGCTAGATCATGCTTATGACTTCAGACTTTTAAAATGTCTTATTTTCTTTAAAAATAAACAGATTATAATTTATCATGTTTTGTATTAATAAGTATGGGTGAAAACTACCATGAAAGTTTTGCTCCAGGAAAAATGGCAAAATTCACATATTTATTCCAAAACTGTTATATTGTGTATATAAGTAAATTAGAACTAAAACCACAGCTGCAGTCTAGTTCAATTTATACCAGCAGCTGTAAGATTTTGCTTATTGTTTGTTGGACTGCAGCCTTCTGAGTGAAAATACATTTGCTTCTATATGACAAATGCAACCCACCCTGGTCCTCATTCCTTTCCCATCCCAATTCCCTTACTCTTTGGGGATAAACTAAGAAAAAATGAGGTCACAGGAATTTTTAAAAGTTCATACTGTTCAGCTGCTTGATCCTGTGAATTAATTGCCATGTCCCTTTGAAAAGAATTAATCACCTAAATTCTTTTTTAAAAAAGTTATCTGGCACTGTTTTATGCATGGAATCAGAATTGCACCAGAAGTTTCAGAGATAACACTGTGGCATTCAAGAAAATGACATTTCATTTAAGTTTCCAGTATGTGGTATTTTCTAGGAGGATCCTAGAGGTGGTGGTGGTTGGGATTTTTTAGGCCAATAAAATCTAAGAATTTCTGTAAAAAAATTAGCTCATCATTCAAAGCAAAGCCCTTGTTACAGACATTTCTGTGATTAATTCCTAGTCACATGAAACTGCTTCTATGCTAGAATGTTTTCCCATCCGTAGATCTGTACTGGCAATTTCAGCACATACATCCTTTATCTGGCAATGGAAGTACAATCTGAAGCTAAACAGGGAATGTTCTTTAACAGCAAACAATCTGCTGGATCTCTCAGAGCTGATTTATTACATTGTAGCTAAGATCCTGGATTCTTTCTAGGGATGTGGAAGCAGATCTATACGTGCATAAGAAGTCAGAATCATGTACTCTGAATGATTTAATCACAGTTTTGCAGATAGGAGGCATTCTGGGTTTCAGATACTTGTTAAGCTAATGATGCCACCGCCGCTGCCACCACCACCCTTACACCTTTTGGAGGAGGGGAGAAAGAGATATACTAATCTAAGTTAACATTTTAAGCGAAAAACAGTGTTGCCCTCACCTTGAGCCCTCATATCTCCCGTTCCTCTCATATTCAGTCGGGAGCCTCAATGAAAACAATGCCGAAGCACAAAGAAAGCAGGAAAGAGAAGACAAATCTTACACTAGTACAGATAAGGTTGGCAGAACACTGCACAGTGACATCTCATTCAATTTAATTGCAATTCACTGCTTGGGTTTAAACACTGAAATGATCAGTTAATTCAGGATATCAAGCATGCCTTTTTCTATATAAAATATATTGGGAAACCTCAAGTATTTGCTATTAGAGCTATTCTAGAGATATTAGAAACGAACTGTAACCATGATGGTCATGAAAGATTTAGCTACTTGCAGAAGATGCTAGACAGGAAGGGAAAATAAATTAAAGCAATAAAAAATTCATTTCAGTTTAAGATAAGCTAATAAAAAACACCCTATATTTGTGTTTTATTCTTCCCAGGATTTTAAAAGCATTTCTTTGATACATAAATTGTCTTAATTTTACAGCCAATTTGATAATTGCTCTTCACAGTACCCACATTTTCAACTAGAAATTTTACTACTCTGTAATCTCATCTACATAGCATCCCTCTCCTTTACCTGTTAACAATAAAACTTTAAAGGAAACAGAAACAATGCGAGACATGTGTTTCAACTCTTTCAGGAAGAGATGGAAAGAAAACTTGCACAAACTGGATGCGAAACAAGAATCTCAACTAACCTTCCATATTTTCTAATTAATATTATATGGTTTTTGAAAACATATTTAAAATCTCTTTAAAATAAATTTCTGCCTACAGACAAAATTAACATCAATGGATGGATAAATACCTAACTGAACAAAAGGGAAGAAATCCTTTCTTGGCACTGTTGGCTCAGAGCTACCTATCATTTTTAGTATAGACTGAGATACTTACTGAACTGAAAGCACACTGGCAAAGCAGTCTTTGCACAGATCTTATCCGAACCCCTGACTGCAGGGCTCTCACAGCCTCGTGTGGAATTTTAGTTCCCTTGATACAGAAAGTTTTACCTCAAAAGTCAGTATAAAATATAGTAACAGTAAAAATATATTTGATTAGCTCAACATATTCAGGTGAAGTTGTACATGTATTCTTGCACAGGAAACATGTACAGAGTCTAAATATACTAAAGGCAGAGTCTATGGAGCCTGGCTGGCTGCTATACGAAAATAAAACTGACTGATATAACAGTCTGAATTATTTCACAATTCTGTGAAAACTACACTTATTTCTCTTTGCAGTTCAGCGCACTATGTATTAAATCTACAAGGATGTTCTTTATCACTACATAATCTAGAACTCCATACAGATAAGAAGTCTAATTCTGCACAGCAATAAAATTTGACAGTAGCGTTCTATAGAACAATTCAAAGGCTAATTAACATTATAACATTAAAGTACTGCTCTCTAATATAACATAACAATAGAGATGGAACTTTTCCCATTAATTTGCATTGTGTCTTAGAAAGGCAAAATATACTGGAAGATAGTAAAAGAGAAATAAGAAATATAATCTTGGGCTGTAATTCATTGTTTTGGGCCCTGTGTTATGTAAGAACACTTGTACTGGTAAATTTTGTAAATTTGTTAATATAGCAATGCAAGATATATGCTAAACATTAGAAATTAAGCAGTTAACTCACATGATAAGAATTACCCAATAGGATTCTATAATTGCAAAATTGATGTACAGCTGCAAAAAAACCAGATGGCTTTTATGTTGTCAATTAAGCTGTACAATACAAGCAGAATGTACTTAAAATTTTAAATACCTTAACACAGAATCAAAATTGCTTTTTAGATAGGCTTTTCTTAGTGATTTCAGTGCCTGAATGATTTCTACTGCTGTTCTGTTGCTTGTTTTAATAAAGATGTTTTAATAGACTTTTATATTTTTATTATTTCATTTTTGGGGGTTACTGCCCTAAGTTTTTGTTTTTTGTTTTTTTTGGAAAACAGTGCTAGAAAGTTATAAGTAAACAAAATTGAAATATTCCACTGGTTGCATACCCTATTAAACAAGAAGTAAAATGTATTAGTTTTAATTGAAAACAAGTGTGCTTCCATTTGCTACTATCAGAGAAGCTGTATAAAACTACATTAAAAGACATACAAGGCTGTTATGATGCAGACACCACTGGGGAAATATATGGAAAAGTGCACAATTTAATGCAAAATAAATAATAATTGCATTTGAAATTGTTCTGGGGAGAGGTCTTAACTAATTTTACAGGAGGCAGCAGCATTTTTTATGTGCAGGAATGCAACATTACATTTGTGTATTTTTGTCTCAAAAACTGAAATGAAATGTCTCAAAGATCATATACTTTTATTCCAGATTATTCAGAAAATCCACTGGCCTAATTAACTGAGGTGCTCTCATAAAAATTAAAAACAGGCAATGTCTATAGAAAATATGCTTTTCCTTAAGGTTGATTTTGGATGTAATTGAAAATAGTGGGGAATACTCTTCTTACCGAGGCCTCGTGTATTTCATTTTGTGTGAAACGAGCAACGCCTATGTCTCCTGTGATGCCCACTGACGACAATTTTCAATTATGTAACCCTTACAACATATTCTGGCCTACAGGGATAACAGCTGAATTCAATCTATTAAGCTCAAAACCTCAAGGACTGACAATGCAAACCATTGCAAACTGACAACTATATATGTAAAACAGTTCTAACAGTCTTAACTGTTATATCTATCAAATATTGAATAGTATTTGCCAATAGAAAAGATTCTCCCTTCTTCCCCCAAATCTGCTCAGAAGAACTGAGAGAGTGTCTAACAGCCAGGAGAGGGAAAATAAAGCAAAAGCAAGTTGCATAAGAAAACTCTGCTTATATAACACTGGATGCAGTCCATATGAAAGTGGAGAAGCTCTCAGTGAGAAGAATATGATATAAAAAATTCAAAGCAAAGCATATGAAAAGAGGCTGAAGAGAATTAATGCAGTGACCAAAAGAACTACAAGTAAGTATACATTAATTGATATGAGTAATTTTGCAAATGGCAGACACTGATCCAACCAGCTCTAATTACACATATATGGAATAAGCTACATTTCACTTTTTCAGAAACCAAGGAGTATGAAAAATCTGGGTAAAGTGTTATTTTTCCTAGAAGCCAAAAGTTATGGTTTTTTATGCCATAAGCCATGCATGGTTATGTATTAACAGTCCTCAGGATCCCTTACAATTTATTTATTTATTTCATTCTAATAAAAAACAAAGAAAATGTAATCATGATATTGTGCAGATGAGTTTCAACGGCCAGTTCTTAAACTTGCAGAACATTCAGACAAGCTCCAACAAGCTCTAATACCCTTGCTGGCTGCAAACTGACAAGAGAGAAGTAGGAAGCAATAGTCCTGTTTTTCCTTCTTTTCTAATTTACGTATTTGTCAATATCAAGTAAGCAGCAGAAATACCACCTTCCATTTTTAATCAACACATACACACACACACACACCTGCTGAAAATCCTTGAGATACTTAAAAGTGTCACTATCAATATTAATAGTTTATGTGCAAATTTAAAAATAGCTTCCAAATGTATTATTAGCGGAAATTTACAGAGTTCTGAAACTAAAATGTGAATGATAAAGTGAGTACTGAGTTACTTACCTGTTACTTGTATATTACTCGTTTAAATCAGTATCACCAAACATCACTCTCCAATCACAAGCATGCTAAGTGTATTAGTATAAAGAATAAAATTATTTTGGGTACTATTGAAGTAAGTAAAGCGCACAAGGCATGCTTTGCATATCATTACTCAGGTGTCAAAGATCCACAGGGATTATCATTAGTTAATAAAGGGTTTTTTAAATTTATTTTCTTGGGTTCATGAAAAGTATTTAGTTCTCAGCAGAAGGTTTAGTGTGGTTTCATTTTTTAAAAAGAAAAATCAAGGCTAGAAAGCCAAATTCAGTGTTAATTGCAAGAGCTGGTTCTTAAAATACGAATAAAATCCTACCTTTTGATAAACCTGAATGACATGTTTCTAAAAGAAATTAAAGCCAAAATAATAATTAACAAATGGGTTATAATGAAATAAACTGAAAATCTATTCATCATGTGAGACAGAATGATAAAACTAGCTGAATGAAATATGGAAACAATTCAGATTCATTAATCAAATTTAAAAAGTTATTGAAATGGATGGCCTTTCAGTGTTAAAAGAAATTCAACTTTTTTTTTTCTGTGTGCTCCTAGTACTTATCAATAGTTGATCTAGCACCTCTTCTGAATAGCAGGAAATCATGTCACTTCTGCTTTCTATATTTTACAATCAACCAAAGATCAAGTTAAATTAGAACAGTGTATACATTTGGATTACTGTAGACAGTATGCATATTTCTAGTTCTTTAAGTTCTGGAAGAGAGTATGAAAATGAAGGATATCAGCCCTCAGGCAGGTAGAAGATGACTTGCTTCACCAACACACAAATGCTTTGATTCCCTTCACAATGTTTTACCAGAATAGAAGACATTGAAGAAGAAAAAGGTCACCAAAAGCTGAATGGAGAAAATTTTGACAAGTAGGGCAGGAACATTTCTGCCAGGTTTTCTGTGAATTTTTTCTACATCCCCTGACCCTGAGAGAAATATTTGGGGAGTGGGAGTAGTCACGTGATTTAAAGACAAGGGGTGATCAAATCATTTCTGCCTGCTTCTCCTTATAAGTGAACATCTATATCTAAACCGGTATATTTTAAAGCACTGGGGACTTGGAAAAAAGAAGGATGTATCTTCCCAGTTTATTTCCTCATTATATGACCTAAATCTACTACTTTTTTTCTATTTTTCAAGGACAGAATCACAAATATTTCAAATAAGATAAACACCCATCTTTTTTTTAATGCTTTAAATGCCTAAACAACATTGTTGTAGGTTATAAATACATAGACAAAAAATGATGGTTTGGGGAAATATGTATGAATTATTCCAAGCATAAAACTACTACATTTTGGAGTGAAAGTTAAATGTTTGGTCAGCTGTTATACATAGCTCTGATCAGTTGCAGAAATAATGCACATATTACATCTTTGGTAACATGATATGAAAAGTGCTACTTTCTGAATGTACATGTTTTAGGAATCAACTCTGAACACTGCAACATATATGTACATTATAAACAAGTTTCTACAAATATGATCAACTATTCAAAAGGACTTTGCTTACAAAGTATGCCAGTAAATTAGAGAACTATTTATGTATGATTCAAGAGTGTAGATGTGGATTGAAATATTGTACAGATAGGCAAATACCATGCACACTTCAGGTTGTTTACAGACATTCTTTGAAAAATTCAGATATAATGGGAACTCACATTGTAAGCATTTGATCATTTTAGACTAGGGATGTACAATGTTTGGCTGCTCAGGAACAAAACATTCCATTCCCAAATTGCTGAATTTTGCACATCCCTGTTTTGGACTAAAATGACTTCTAAAAAGTAAAACCTCTGGTATTCAGTGAAAGAATTGAAAACAACTAAATGGCCCTAAAGATCATCCATAGGACTCTAGCTTTTGTTACAGCACTCCACATCCAAGTTCTCTGCTACCAGATGGATAGGATTTTTTACACAGGACCTCCCCTTTTTCATCAGTCATAAGATTTGCATTGGCAAATGTGTGCAGTACAGACAAGGATTAATATTGCATGAGTGGTTTAAACACCTGGCAGGCATAACTAAAATAGTCTGAGCAATGGTGGTACAGTAAAACAGAAAAGAGCTGCATGTTTGGAGATTTCCAATGAAAAAAACCAAGGAGTTCAGTTAATCAATATATATATGAACTACTGCAGACATCCACATTTTCAGTGCTTTTTCTGGTTTTGAGTCCCTTTTTACAGAGATGTTGAAGATAGAACCTGGTATCTTCTCCTTGAAAAACTTATCATCTACAAGTGAGGAATGGACTTCACCCATTTGCTTAATTAGCTGCAAACTGGAATCTCTGTAACGTGGGAGTTTTAGATGTGCAGCTCCCAGTAATCAATGTTGTCCAAAGCAAAGATAAATGCCCATGAGAACAATACTGTTCCTGACATATCTTGTAAAATCTGCAACTGTAACTTTAATTATGTGAATGTAGACAAAAAGGTATAAAAGTTGTTGTTTGGAACTTTTACATTCTCAGATTTTCATTTTGAAACAATAGCACCTATACTGTCCATCTGCCTCTGTCTCTACAAGTCTAAAGCACTGAACATTAACATGGTCTCTAAAGCTAATACTTTGTATCCTGTATGTGGCACATTTTGAGAAAACTTCTTATAAAGAAATCACATTTTCTTGTGATATGCTACAGAGCTGAATCACAATAAAGTGAAACTACTAAGTAGTTAAACTGCAAAGAGGCAATATTCTAGAAATGCTGGCCGGAACAAGAGTCTGATTATAAGATTTCCTAAGTTAAAACTTGGCATAGCATTTCTCCCCTGCCTGTCTGCCCCCCAATCCTCCCAGTGGATTCATTCCCTTCAGCCAACACCAATATCCCCGCTTGGCATATCCCCCTGGCCTGCCATCCCCCAGTCTTCCCAGCACTTTCTCCTGCCTCTCTTCAGTTACCAGTGTTCTTAATTTTTTGTTCTTCTCCACTCTAAACACTTCCGCCCTAAACAACTGTTGCCTTTGTGCATGGACCAAAGTATCTGAAATGGGCAAGTTTCCATTCAATCACAAACCTCCTGAATCCAACTGATCTAGGCATGGAACATTTTCTACACTCCTATTCATTAAAATACTTTGCATTACAGCATGTTCTACACCATATTTCACACTTTTTAAAAAATGGGTTATTTTAACTGACTTCTGCAAACTCCTACTGAACAGTTTTTGAGGTTAACTCCACAACTACAATCCTCTTTGCAGGATGAAAACCTACTGTATTACCCATTTTAGGGAAACATTTGTTTGAGAGAAAAAGGCAGGCTGCTATTACAGAGTAATGCTCCTGAACTTGATATATAATTTGCATACTTTTATGGCCAATATTTAACTTTTAAAAATAGTTACAGAAAAAAGTCACTGATACATAAAAACCCAACACGTATATAGGTGTAATTCTTCAATACTGAGCATTCCCGTGGTGGTCATAACTTAGTTTGTGATTCTTTAAAAAATACGTACCTTCTAGTCAGCTTTGAAGTCAATTTACTGAACAAGTTAGTGGAGCCCCTACTTCGTGTCTGTGAAAGTGGTGTTGCTTCATGAGATAAACTAGGTGATGCAGGGGGTCCATTATACGTGGCAGTGCGCCTCTCTCTAAGCTGACCGTGGAAAGTACTACGACTGGCAGTTCCTCTTGGGAATCGGATACGATCAGGTGTTGTTGCACTGCTGATGCTATGAGTTGAAGCAACTGGTGTCCTTTGATCAGGAATGGTGCTAGAATAAAATCACAGGGGTCTTAAACATTTCAACTGTAGAAACTCAACTGCTTACAAAGCTGGGTTTATAAACAGCATAATATAGGAGAAAAAGATTTGTACTTATAATATAGGAAAAGCATTATTTTTGTAGATAGATATATAAGTTTTACAACACAAAAAATATATTAGAAAACAAAATGGGAATTCAAAATCTGTATTTAGAAGGGAAAAAAGGCTTTGTATAGATTTTAAGGCTAAAAAAAGAATGCAAAGAAGTATTAAATGCAACTTCCTTCTTAAAATACTGATTTTCAAAATATTTTGCAGAAGAAAAATATATTAAAGACACTTTAATTTAAAATGTTGATTCTAGTATTTTCCCAAAGCTGATTATAATAGAAGGCAAGGTTGAAAGGATTTTTGGAAGTATTAAAGGAATACAGAATACTTAAAATATTGATTAAGAAAGGATTATTCCACAAGGCAATTGTAAAAAGGACAAGGGTGGAGGAGAGAAAATGGATGCCAATTAGTTTGATATTAATGTAAGCATTTAGTATATATCCCTGAAGTTATCTGTACCATTCTTTACTGGAGGGAAAACTATTTTCACATGCCAACAATGACAATGACTTCTGATGTCATAGCCAAACATCAGGATATGTATTGGGGTGAGCTGCATAAATGAGCATTTCAGGCAGCTCCCGAGAGAGCTGGATTCAGTCACAGGCAGAAAGAATACAAGGAACCAGTGATAAACATGCAAGCTACTGGGTTGCAAAAAGCAAGCAAAACAAAAACACCCTCCCCCAAAATATCCTACATTTTGGCCACAGGTTCATTCATAATCACTTACCAAGGCTTAACAGACCACAAGGGGGGTTTGACTTACTTGCTAGACATAACCCTTTTACTTCTTTATCCTGAGCTGGACCACTGGGTTATATAGCTTGGTATTAGGAATGTGCAAACAATTAAAAAAATGGTTTTCTTCCATGCACAGAACATGCATATTGAAGTCTGGCAAGACCATTCAGTGGAGGTTAAGGTTTTTACAGGGCAAGAAGGGCAAATCTCTGCATCTCACCCCTCTTCCCCCCTCCTCCTCCACATGATTTGGGATCCTGCCCCTCCTCATTCTTCCTGCTTCTTCCCTTCCCTTAGCCACGCACTGCCATTGCTGTCACTGCACTTTATTCCAGTGCTACTAGCGGAGCAACCTTCCCATGTTTCTTTCCCCCTTACTCTGCTTAGCTGTGTTCCACTACGCGTGCCCTTCCCTCTGGCTGCTGCCTTACATTGCTTCCAATTACCCTTTCTTCCTCCCACACTCCTCACCTTGGAACACCTCTGCCCAGAACATACATTTTCCAGACCTGTGTTGGAACCAAATATGCACATTATTGGACTGTGCCTGGCCAAAAAGTTCATTTTTGTTTCAGCATGGAGCACCCAAAACTGGTTGTTCCAGCTACTATTTTGCACATCTCTATTTATTATCCATTTGACCAACAGAAACTTTTCAAATTCTCAAAGGTCAGCCCTAGCAGAACACTTTAATCAAAGATGTGAGGAAGTGAACTGGGAAGCTTATGCATACCAAGAGACCACCTGCCTCTGAGATATAGGTGGTTCTTGCTTAGCAACTACTCATTCAGCAACCAAAGATACAATGGCACTGAATGAGGAGACTTACAACAGGTCCTTGTAGTTGCAGCTGTTGCAGCATCCCTGCAATCACATGATCGCAATTTGGGTACTTGGCAACCGGCTCGCAATTACAATGGTCACAGCATCCCGTGGTCATGTGACTGCCATTTGTGACCTTCACTACTGGCTTCTGATAAGCAAAGTCAATGAGGAAGCAGGCAGGAGGTCATAAATAGTGATCACATGATGTTGTGCTTAACAACTGAGAGGGATTCGCTTAACGTAAGTCAGCGTAATCATGAGACACCACGCTTTACGACTGTGTTGCTTAGAGACAGAGTTGCCATCCTAACTACTGTTGTTAAGCAAGGACTACCTGTATATTCTTTTCGTTCTCTAAATTTTAAAAAATATGAGACTTGGGCTTTTTAGTCTTCATTTGTCCTTTCCTTCAGTGTAACCACAATAGCATAACAGGCTTTTGCTGTCTTTTTCAATTATGTGGTTAGTACTGCTAATGTGGCGGCAGCACTAACTATGATTTACTGAAACATGTCAGAATCATGCATAAGCCTGAGACTCATACATATAGCACTAAATGACAATCCGCTATTAGCGAATGCAGACTCACCTTCTGACAAATGAGTCAGCTATTATGGTTACTAAAAAAGTCCCCCAGCTAAACATTAAAATTCACTAATTAAACTGTAAGCTCTCTGATAATGTGAAGTATGTTTAAACTGGAATTTTGTGTAAATGCTACACTACTATCAATCAACCCAACAATATACCTTGCCCTCATTCCTGCATTTGTCTGTTTGTATTCAAGTTGTGCCTATGAATTCTGCAATATTCTTGTTAATTTTCTACTTTTTTTCTGTTTTTGAGTTTGGATACTCTGCTAAGTAGTATCTTTTCTTTGAAGTGCTGTTACGAGTTCAAATCCTTTTCAATGAATTGGTACTTCAAATGTACTTTAATATTTTACATACCAAATTTACAAAGATCACCCTATCAATGGCATATTAATCAAGAGCCATATATAATTAGACAGAGGGCTGTTGAAAGAAACAACTTACCTAACATTCCTACTGAATTCCTCTTGAGCAAAAATTTCAAGGTTTCTTATCCATTCTAATATTTTAACTAAATGTCCTACACCTGCCTTCTCTACTCAATTATTTACATACTGTTAATTTTTATTATTTATATCCCATCTACCTCTATTAGGTAGCAGGACATAGCTAAAAGGCAGCAGATTTTTCTGGTATTACCACCAGAAAAGAAAGTATTTGAAAGTCTTTTAAATACTGAGCAGGCTTACTATCAATGTGCAGCAAAATAACACAATTTATTTCCTCTTTGCATAATCAACAATATTAGGCAAAAAAGATCTATCCTGCCACTCCAAAAACACACATTTACATAACCTTTTATTTATATTCTCTGCTTTAAAAAAAAATACACACATAAAAATTCCCAAAAGATGTGCAAACATTACACATTTTGTAATCCAAAAGATGGATTAAACATTACAAGAAGAGATGTTAGATAAATAAAAGACCTCCCCCTATCTTCTTCCTCCTGCAGTCTCCCTTAAATAAGCTCTGTAAAGTGTAGGGTCCTCTGGACAAGATGCTAAAAGGGGGGGGGGATTACTTTCTGCCCATTTTTATATTCTGTTTTACTTTAGAACTTAAGAGCCAATCACATGCATATTAAAAATGTTTAGTTAAGTCCTAAAATTAGGTAGAAATAAAAAAATGATATTTGTTACGGCAAAAAACAGCCATGTCGTATAGAAATCCTGGTATTGTATACTGATATGTAATAGAATGTGAATGCACATAGGTGTCAATAGAAAAAATTTATTTGTATGTTTTGAAAGTCTAGAAGAGACTGAAAACAAATATAAATTTATTGTGGGGTATAATATGCACCTTAGTCTTCAGAGGCAGACTTTTTTTTTTACAGTTATATTTCACTGTCTTACAACAATAATTCTTTTAATATATGTACAGTAATAAGATGTGTTATTTTATTTTCAAAGTTGATAAATCAGGATACGCCAAAGTATGTAATTGCAAAATTAAGTAATTCAGCTATTGATTAATTTTGTGCAAAACTCCATTCCAAGCATGAAACATTCTGGTGTTCCCAATAATATTCTGTTTTTCCCTTGGAATATGCCAGTCTGGCAGATTCCAGGAAAAAAACAGAACATTCTGGGAAACACCAGAACTTTCCATGCCCAGGACGCAGAATTTTGCACATCCCTGTTTTGCTTGCTTTTTTCATGCTTCACTATAAAACACCCCTCTACATATATGCTTTCAATAATAAAGAAATCCTGAAATAGGTATCTAAGCCTCCTTTCAGAAACTCTTACCTGCTTTCCTTGCCATTTTGAATTACTGAGTGTCTGTCTGCGGTTGTTCGTTCACTACAAACATAAGTGTTTCGTCGTGTCATGGCTCCAGGTGTAGTGTTGCTCTAGAGAAAAGAAAATGCACATTTACACTAATTTCCTAAGGAAGGGATCATAGCAGAATCTTAGTATAAAATAATTTGATTATGTTTAAGATGCAACTTAGATTAAAACACAAATCTAACATGTACTTGTAACAGCTGCAAAGAAAGCATAGTTAATGGAAAAGTAGGTTAAAAACAGAAAAGGTATAGGCAGAAGTGTTGGACAATGCATGATGAAATACTGATACAAACATAAACACATAGACAAAGAAAAAATAAGCACAAGCCTGTTTAAAAAATTTCATTTGGGGGCAATAGCACAAAAACAAAAGTTATTTTGCCTCTTTCTTTCCAGAGAAACAATGCGGAGATATGTCCAAGTCAGTGAACAGTTTTCCATGAATGAGCGTGGAATTATTAGATAACAAGCTGTTTAAAAAGAGATATGCAGCAAATAGCAAATAGCAAAAAAAAATAAAAATTGATGCCTTTGAACTGTGGTGCTGGAGAAGACTCTTGAGAGTCCCCTGGACTGCTAGGAGGTCAAACCAGTCAATCTTAAAGGAAATCAACCCT